GTGTCCTCCTTATCTGTGTCGCTCGATACACCCTTGGAGGCTGTAGCCATCCGTGTTTCCTTGGGTCGTACTATCACTGTTCTCTCTACCTGTTTCCTGGTGAGACATATGATCAAATGGACCTTGATGCTCTCATTGAACAGTTGCCATCTCCCTTTTTAATCCTGGGAGACTTTAATGGACACAAACCCTTCTGGGGTGGTGCTGCTATTGATGGGAGGGGTCGTTTCAATGAGCATCTGCTCTCAGATCACAACCTTTCTATCTTCAATACTGGATCTTGTTCATGCACCTAGTCAGTCTTTCACTGCCATAGATCTCTCGATCTGCTCCCCTTCACTTTTCTCCTGCTTTTATTGGATGGTTGACAGTAACCCACAGGGCAGTGATCATTTTGCTTTTGTTTTGAGAGAGGTTGGCCATGGATGATGCCACCTGACCCGAGTGCCACGATGGAAGTTAGACCAGGCTGACTGGCTCTCTTTCACCACTCTCCCTGAACTTGATCCTGTCATTGTCTGTCTGCCATCAATAGATGAATGTGTGGCAGCAGTAACTGACTGTTTCGTCTAGGCAGCTGCTCGCTTTGTTCCTAAGACCTCGATACATTTCCCATGGTATCCTCATCCATGGTGGAGTCCTGCCTGCCAAGAGGCACAGAAGGCTCAAAAACGGGCCTGGGATACCTTCCTCTTTATAACCGCATAGTTTATCAGCAGGCCCGTGCCCATGCTCAGCAGCTTTGACATCAAAGCCAAAAGGAGTCTTGGATTAAGTTCACTACTAACATCTCTTCTACCACCACTTCCAAAACCATATGGGACAAGATTTTAAAAGTCACTAGCAGACTTCCCTTAATCGCTTGGTGACGTGGACCACTGCAAACAGTTTTACATTTTCTTTTTCCAAAACCGTTTGCATGCATTTTTGCCACCAACGGGGGTCTCCACCCCAATTCCCCCCCCTCTTGGGTAGTGGATCGATGTTCTATGCTCAGGATCTATTGTGCCCCTGACTCGATCCAAACTGGACTATGGGTCTTTGGTCTATGGTTCTTCGAGGACCTCGGCCTTGAAGATGCTGGACCCCGTTCACCATCTTGGGCTTCGGCTCTGCACCAGGGATTTTCACACTTCTCCAGTCCAGAGTTTGTACACTGAGTCCCACAAACCTCCTCTTCACCTCAGTCATTTACAATTTTCTCTACAATATGCTATCAAGCTTCGAACCGTACCACAGCATCCCACCTGGGAATGTGTCTTTCTTCTACGGTTGGCTGTGCTCTTTCAGAACAGACAGTCTGCAATTCCTTCCTTTGGCTTTCTTACCCGGGCACAACTGGCTGAATTGGGTCTGACATTACTGGATGACATTGCTGTCCCCAATGATCAGCCCATTCTGCCATGGCTTATTACCATCCCTGCCTATGACCTTTCCTTGAGTCATCTGTGGAAGGTGGATACTCCCAATTGAAAGTACCATCTTTTTGCTGAATATCTTTTGAGCCATTCTTCTCTTCCTATTTACACAGATGGTTCAAAATCGGATGACTCTGTAGGCTCTGCCATGATTTGCTGTGGCTCGTTAGTTGCTTGCAGGATCCCCTTCTACATTTTCTGTGTTCACTGCCGAGTTGTATGTTATTTGTCTTGCCGTGTAGAGGCGATTCAGTACAGTGATTGTACTATTTACACTGATTCTCTTAGCTCTCTACTGGCCCTGGAATCACTTAACATTCGTTCTCACCCTGTTCTCATTGATATTCAATAACAACTGGTCCATTTGTCTCCATTTCCATCCAGTTTTTCTGGATATCTGGGTATGTCCGTATTTGCAGGAACAAGCTCGCTGACACTGCAGCTAAGTCTGTCTGCTCTGCCGCCATCATGGCTGTGCCTGTCCCATACATGGACTGTGGTCCTGTATTCAAGGTGTGGCCTCACGCCAGTTGCCAGTCGACTTGGGGTGAGCAACATCATAACAAGCTTTTCGAGACCAAACCTTCTGTTGCTCTTTGGCCATCTTGCTTCTGTATGGAATCGGAAGGAGGAAATTGTCCTGGCTTGTCTTTGTGACACTCAAGTCACAATAGCCCACATTTTACTGTTGTGCCGTCGTTATGACTGTGAGCGGCAACACCATTTTAGACATGTATTTTGTAAGGGTTTACCCCTGACATTGGACAGTGTTATTGGCGATGGTGACACTGTTCAACTTGATTGTATTTTCAATTTTTTAAGAACAATTGGTCTTTTTAATTTGATT